ACTCAGAGTTGGCTTCGTATGATTGCGGTGGAGAATCATACGAGGTGGGGTATGATTGAGGTGATTGTGCTATGAGGGCAAGAGGACCTCCGAAGTCAGAACAGTCCTTGAGTACGGTGGAATCTTGAGCTTGTAGTTCACCATAGTGCTTATATAGGGACAACGAGTGAATTTTCCTATCACCTTGTACGATCATTTTTGCAGTTTTCCAATGTCTTCCTAAACCATTCAGGAATTGAAGGTTTGTTTCGTGATTGCTTCTCACAGTACCAACATTTGATAGTTTGGTCACTATCAAGTTGAACCTTTTGAACGAATCTTCCAAGCTTTCACCCGCATGAGCCTTGAAATTGTTAAACTCATTGAGTGCAGTTGTAGGCTTTTTGTCTTGTGCTTGTTTAGTGCCTTCGTACAGGTTTTTGAGCACATCCCATATCTCATTTGCTGATTTACAATTTATGATAATGTCGAAGTTGTCAGGGGCAACTCCGCATGAAATTTCATAAAAGGCAATAGCATCGTTTTCCATTTTGTCTAGATCATCCTTCGTGGGACGGTTCATAGCTGGTTGACCTCCTCCCATTCTGAAAACGGTGCCATCTGTTTGTACAGGGGTAAGAACAGGAACATGTGGTCCTTCTTCAACAGATCTCCATACATCTCTTCCGAGTCTTCTTAAATATCTTTCCATTCTTTGTGACCAATGGTGATATTCATTTGCAACCAGTATTGGAGCTCGATTTGAACCACCACCACTGTTGTAAATGTTTAAAGAAAGTGCTTGTGCCATTTTGTTTTTATTTTTTTATTTTTTTGTTTCAGAAATGAGCTTCAGTGGTATAGAAGGCCGTTTGAAAATCAGAGTTCCGTTTTCAAAAATCAACCACTATGGCTCTGATACCAATTGTTGTGAGAAATAACTTGGAGACACACTTGAACAAAGTTAGTACAAGTATATTACGGAATAGTTAATCTCGAAGGATCTAAACCTCAACAATAATATTAATGTTAGATAGTTACAGAATTAGTTGCGGAATTTAAAGATAAGTAAATGACAGCAGTTGTTATATTGTTATAACAAGTATACACATAAGTTGATTCATAATGAGGAATGCATTCAAGCCAAGTTAATAGTTGTGATCAAACTCAGTGATTAAGTCACAGAAGACTTGCTCCGAAGAGAGATTGTAATCGATATGTAAGTAAGAAATATGAGAAAGACATAGAAAAGATAGAAGAGATAATGTAAGAGATGAATATCTGAAATGATAATTGAGAAGTGTATTGATTCAAAATGATAGATCTCTATTTATAGAGACTCTAAAAAATACATAAGATGCAGTCTCTAAGAGTAGCCATGCAAGGCATACTGGACAATAGAGAGTATTACATAAAGATAAGGAAAACACGTAATACAAAAGATAGATTGCAGTCCGCAGATGCTCTGGAAGAGACTGCGGATTAGAAGACTTCACTGCGGTTGGGGAACTGACTGCGGTTGCTGAGATGACTGTGGTTGTGGAAGTTCAAGGGGGTCACTTTTATACTTTAACACCAGCAACCCTCGATTTCCCATAGATGATATCATACCTTTCTCCTGCAACTCGTGATTCACCCTACAAACAAAAGGTTCCCCCTTTTACCTTACTAATCTCCAGAGTACATGCCTCCAATGGATACACTTGCGATCCCCAACACAAGTTTCCACTATAATCCATCCCGAAATGGCCGTCCATGAATCCCTCCCAAGTCTCTGACTGAAACTACCACAAATCATACATAGAAGACCCTCAAACAAGTCGATAGCGAGCCTTCCCCAATCTGAATCCATATGATACACCAAAACCTTAACATAACCTTGACTCTCTATCCTATCATTACCAACCTTCAAAGTGACGAACATGAGATTATCAAACCAAGAACTTACGCATTTCATCTGATCCCTAACAACAACTTACAAACAATCAAGAATACGGGGGAAACATTTCACAGATTCAATCTGATACCCGACAGTCCCTAAGGGTACTCTATAAGTGATAACCTGCAAGTACGGAACGTACAATTCCACAGGTTATTATCACAAAGCAGCATGCTGAATACCAGAACATATTTCTATCAGAATACATATAGAGTCTTCAGCATAACTGGACCGCATCACCGGGCCTTCAGCCTATCTGGACCACTTTCACAACCTTTAGCATGTCTGGACCGCCTCTTTGGGCCTTCAGTCTGTCTAGACCTTTCTCCGGGCCTTTGGCCTGACTGGTACACCCTGTTAGCCTCTAGTAAATCTAGACCGCCCTATGTATGTTGAGCATAACCTTGGACCCATGCTGGTGCCCTCTCCCATATAGCCAGCTCTCCTTCACTTGGGGTTTCGAACTCCTGATCCAATCTGCAGACTATATTACGACCTAACTCTAGACCTTATGTTGACCGCCCACACTCTTGGGAACCATGGCCTGATCCCTGACCCACGTATCCACTACATACGCTAAATAACCTGCACACCCATGATGAATGTACTACCGAGTCCTGGCAGCTAAACAACACCCTTAATGGTTGATGCTCCATTTGAGAATTCCCAATTCTCCACCACTTGGGTCACTAACAACTACCTACTGTTTAGAAATCAACTCAAAGCATAACAACATTTGCTTCATGATAACTGATCTTGAAGACAATATGGTTCAACAACCTCTACCTCTGACAACACCTCCCTAAAACATTTCATTACCCTCAAACCCAGTGGACAAGACAAGAACGTCATCATCGAAACCTGAACCTTCCAAAGTTAGAAGGGCTTTAACATTTAATAAGACAAGTAAATAACATTACTCACATTACACATACACCCACAATACAACTGATTCTTTCTTTTTCTTGACTTAGAGATGTAGAAGAATCGATGTTACAACCAAAACGTCAACGTCATCCATGACAACTCCATTAAGTCACCTTTTGTGTTTTCTAATACTTACTATGACTTCCAAACTCTAATAGCTTTTGTATATCAAATATCCGTGTGTAATATCCGAACTATAGCATGTAAATCCTCTGCATCTGTAGAAATGTTATGGAAGTTAATGTGACTATAAAAAAACGAGCTTTTAGTAAGTTCCTGCTCACACTTTATACAGCTTATACTGTAAAAATTGTTCTCTTTTAGAATAAAACAAGGTAAGTAGAAAACATATTTTTATTCATCATTCAATTTTTAGTCCATCCTAAAAATTTTGAGATAGTAATTCATACCTCCGTATAAGGTTTATATGTTACTTCCATCATAAAGTCAGATCTCATCTTTGACAGAATAATTATTGCCGATTATACCAAACTAAAGTTAAAAATAAAATAAAAATACATGCAGACATATTCAATATTAGGGAAAATGATTTACGAGCCTAATGAAGTTTCAATCCGTTTAAAAAACATCAATCATGTTTTGTCTGTTCAAAAAAACACACCGAACTTAACCTTTTGTCTAAAAAAGTACAACTAAGTTACATTTTTGTTCAATTCTATCGAAGTCAATGAAGAGAAACAAATGATGTGGCTTGTTACCATATCGGGAAAATGACTTGTTAAACCAACAAAGTTTTCAAGTCGTTCAAAAAACTCTAATCATGTTTTGTCTGTTAAAAAAATCCAACAAACTTAAACAAAACATAATTGAGGTTTTTTTGAATGGTTTGTAACTTCGCTGAGATTTTATTGACAAAAGGTTAAGTTCGTTAGATTTTCTTGAACAAACAAAACATTATTGAGGTTTTCTAAATTGTTTGAAATCTTTGTTGGGCTTGTAAGTCATCTTATCGTCAATATTAAAACCACACTTCCGTTCAATAAGGCTTACAAGAAAAATCAAGCAGAAATCAAAGATACAATCACAGGTCACAAAAAGATAATGAAGAGCATGCTAACTAGGTTGAAAGTAGCATCCTTTTTTTTTGCATGTCTCCAATGAACATCAAAGTAGTATGTATATATTTGCTTTTTTGCATGATTCACTTATTCAAACCGCTATAAACTCATCTAAATAAATAACAAGTTATGTACTCTTTATGTTTTTTATATATATACATGTTTTCCGATCCATTTGTCTAAAAATAAATTAAAGCCATTAATATCAATGTACTACTTTGACATATAGTAAGACATTATCGTTTTCCTTGTAGTTTATTATAGATGTACCTTACAACTGAAAACCTCCCTGCAACGCGTGCTTTTTGGGCACCAAAAGCACGGGAATTTCCCGTACTTAATATAAAAGTTAATTATTTTAAACAAAAAAATGAAAATTGTTTAAAGAAGTTGATGCACTTTAATTTTTTTTAACCCTCAATCTCAAAGAGGAAAAACAACACCAAATACGGTTGGACTAAAAGTCGTTTGCTATTGACGCACTCCTAATCTAATCTGGTAATCATCGTCACATCATTCCTTTCATTAAATACGATTATTCATTATCTTAATATTTTTACTTGACTTTATAATGAATGGTTTTCACTTTGATTAATTACTAGTGGCTTTAATGTGGTGTATTTAATATCCCCGAATTAAGCCACTGACCAAGTACTACCAGCTCCCTTTATTTATCACAAATTAAAATGGCATTTACTGAATATTATATTAGGGGAGCGACAATTGTATAAATGCATCAAAACTTTAATAATCTAGAAGCACATGTTAGTTTAATAACAATTTTGCAATCTCGCAACTCGCTATTTTTTAAATAAAACATTAATTTTATAGGAGAGAGAGTTGGAGATCATTAATTTTATATATTGCTAGGATGTGCAAGTTAGCTGGCAATTCATTATTTTGGAAATAAACCATAAATTATGTAATGGGAGAGAGTTGACTAACTCCTTAGATTTTATATATCGCTATTTGCTAGGCTGCACTAATAGACGCGATATCATTTCTTTCAAACAGATCTACTTTGATTCTTCGCAAGGCCTTACTTTTCTTACATATTTTTGATCGATCACCAAACTATGTCGTTCCAAAAACAGTATGAATCTCTTCGCATACCACTAGCTGATATAATATCAGCTACCAAGAACTTTGCAGATGACCATTTGATCGGGGGAGGAGGATTTGGAAAGGTGTTCCAGGCAATACTCAGTTCGAGGGGAGATACCAAGGTGGCTGTAAAAGTTTTAGATCGTGCATTTGGTCAAGGAGACTCTGAGTTTTGGAAGGAGGTCATGACGCTTTCAGAGTATCAACATAAAAATATTATCACTCTCCTAGGGTTTTGTGATGAGGAAGACCATAAGATCCTTGTATACAAATATGCATCTGGGAAAGGTCTTGACGTGCATCTCGACAACAAGGAGTTAACGTGGGCTCAACGCCTGAGAATATGCATAGGTGCGGCGCGTGGACTCGCATACCTTCATAATCCTGCCGGTGGCCAACAAAGACTAATTCATCGCGACGTTAAGAGTTCCAACATCTTATTAGAAGAAGACTGGAATGCCATAATTGCAGATTTTGGTTTATCTAAATTTGCTCCTGCTAACCAGAAAAACACATTTGTTATCACCAATAATACTGTAGGCACACTTGGGTATGCTGATCCACAATATATACAGGATGGAGTGTTAACTAAGAAGTCGGACGTTTACTCTTTTGGTGTGGTGTTGTGTGAAGTTTTGTGTGGTAGGTTGTGTCTTGCTGGGGGTCAATGTCTTCCTAGATTGGTACCAATGCATATCAAACAGAAAAACCTAAATGAAATCGTTTGGGGTAACATAAAGGATGAAATACATCCCAAAGCTTTGCAGGTGTTTTCAAAAATTGTTTATCAATGTTTGAAAAGATACCACGAGAAACGTCCAAATATGGAAGAGATTGTGAGAGAACTTGAAACGTGCCTTAAATTACAAGTAAGTTGCCTTTTCCATTGTAGTTCATATACATCTGTTTTTCACTCTAATTTCGAGATATTAAAAACACTAAAATAAAGAGGTTGATTAGTTGATAATAGTTATAATTTTTGCAATGTAAAGTTTTACCCACTCTTGTACAGGAGGCTTTTGATCAGGCTAACGAACCAAAGTCAATACAAATAAGCACCCTTCTGAGTTTCAAGGAAATCTGTCCCCCCGGAGGAAGCAATTTGGTAATTCTATACACAACAAGTGTCAAAGTCATCCAAAAGACGTCCAAAGATTGCTTTAGTGTTCGTGCTTTACTCAAAAGTTTAAAGGTTTTATACCAAGAAAGGGATATATCGATGCACTCGGATTTCAAAGATGAACTATGGCAGATGTTGGGCAAATCAGGAGCAGTCCCAACACTGTTTATAAAGGGTAGGTACATTGGGGGAGCAGAGGAAGTTTTCCGGTTGAATGAACAGGGAATATTCCGGCCACTTCTGGCTGATATACCATTAAAAAGTTTAGAAGATCCATGCAAAAGGTGTGATGGAGTTCGGTTTGTGGTGTGTCATAAGTGTAACGGTAGCAATATTCTGAAATCTGTCAATGGCGGCCGAACAACATGTACTGAATGTAACAGCAATGGGTTGATCAAATGTCCCATTTGCTTTTAAATATACGTAATTTGGTTTGTGTGTTGTAGATGTTTGCCATTATATATAGAGACACAATCTTTTGCTACCCAAAAGATTGCTGCGAAGCCATGAATTTTTTCGTGTGAATTTTTTTTCAAAACATTTTACTTAATACATTAATAAGGTTGTAATTAAACATAAAAAATCGCGAAAAATAGTGCATATATGAATGCTGCATCTTTGCACTTTTTACGAATATGACATTTTTTTTACATTTATGAATATATGCTACCTTTGTATATTTACAATTTTTCATGATTTTTTTATGAATAAGCTTAAAATATAACTGACTTAATGCATTAAGTTACTCTTTTTTGAAAGAAAAAAAAAACATCACAAGAAAAGGTTCATGGCACTAATACAAAACTGGCTTTTTGCGTCAGTTTTTGAAAACAAGATAGTGTCATTTTCAAATTTCTTGACGCCAAAGATAATAAACTAATTTTCAGGATTGCTTCCATGACGGTTTACTCAAAAAGAGTCATTATTGCAAATCAAACTTCACACATTAATGTTGGTTTTACATAAAAATTGTGAGAAGCGGTTTCACGGTTGGATACCATCGTAAAATGTTATCTTTTATAACGAGTTTTTTACTTGATATAGACATTTCCCTTGTGTCGGTTATTAAGTAAGACCTAAAGATATATTGTAACGTCTCAAAAATGCTAGTAAAAATTTTCATTTTTAAACTACCAGAAACCATAGAATCATTTATTCAAAAGCCAACTAATACGTAAAGTAATCTCAAACATCAGAGTAAAACAAATAGACAATGCGTATATAAACTCTAGGGGATGCAGTGTGATTAGGCTAGACCTTTTCCTTTGGAACTAGTACGTGAAACATTTAAACACAAAACTGTAAGCACAAAATTTAGTGGGTTCTACAAAATACCACATAACCATACAGGCCCCGCCCAATTAGCATAACGGGCCCCACCCAACTCATATATCAGACCTCACCCATCATACAAAATGGGCCCCACTCAATTCAAATAACGGGCCCCGCCCAACATACAAAATAGGCCCCACCCAACACACATGCAGGAGTCACAAAAGAAAACTAGCATCCTACATAGTATAATGAGAAAACTCACCTCACAAGCGCAATCAACAGCCAACAAGCTCACACAGTCGAAAAACGGATGATACATACATCCTAATCAATCATACAAGGTAAACCCTTAGTCTACCTTCTAAAACTAGCAATATGACCAAAAGTCAATGAGGTCAAAAACTTAATGGTCAATGGTCAAAGCCAACTTCATAAGGCCACCATGTCGTGGTCTACTCTTGGCTACGCCGTGGCTATTCAACCCATCGCGGCCAATCCCACTTCCATGTCATGGCAGACATTCTACCACGTTGTGGCAACATCTCAACAAAATAGTAGTGAAACCCCTATTTACCACGATGTGGCGAGCATCATGCAATGACGTGGTTTCTAACTAAAACTGCTTATTTGATTAAGCTCTTAATCTAGTAAACTTCCTTTTCTTAAACTTTACAGAGGGCTTATAGTGACTCTAAAGTCTCATAAAATTTGCACTTTATGGACAAGCATGACCCATGCATGTCCTTTACTCAAACTAGGTCAAATGATAAGAAAATGACCTAGAACTCATGCAAAGCTCACAAATCTTATCCAACTTCTAGACCCAAAAGATATTAGGCTCAAGGGAAATTGGTGTGGCATAAAGTTGCAGACTTTATCTCATCTCATCATTCAAACTTCATATATAGACCAAAACATGCTAATAGAATTAGATCTACAAGATGGGAATCAGAAAAATAGGGACTTGAGGACTTACAAGTAGTCTAGATGGTGCACAAAAGGATGGAGGTGACTTGTTTGTTAGATTCAATCACTAGACTCTTTCTTCTTCCTTCCAGGTTACCAAAACACCAAAGAGGAGCTCAAAACTTGCAACAAGGCTAGGGTTTTGTTAAAGGCATTTTGGAGGTGATGGATGTTGGGGTGGAAGGGACCCTAGCCATCAATTCCTTTAAATAGTGCACAAAACTCAGGAATCTAGGGTTTACATTTCTATCATCACCACATCGTGGGAAATTAATGTCCACGTTGTGGTAGCCAAGTGAAACACACGTTTTACACAACGATGCCATGTCGTGTTAATACTTTCACAACATCGTGGCCACCCCAAAAACTCAAAGATTAAAGATGTGAAATTCATACAGGGAATCGGGTGTCTCTTATATACGGTGTCGATGTTTCATTGTAATTAAATAAACACTACTAGAAAAACATCATTTTACGACGCGCAATGCATGTCGTAAAATGCTCAGACAACGCGCAAATGCGCATAAAGGAATGCACTGTCATAACGAGAGACGACACACTTTTGTGCGTCGTTTATAGACGACGCACATTTACGACGCACATTTACAACGCACATTTATGACACACAATGCGTATCATTAAAACCCCTGTCAATAAAGGTCATGTCATAAATGAAGATGACACACATTTTTGTTTATCGTAAATTTAAATGTTTAAAAAATTTATATATTTATTAATTTTTAAATTAAATTTGCATTTAATGTCTCATAATAGAAATAAAATATCATATACAAGAAATACAATCCATTGCATAAAATTTAATGTCATACAATTCTATTTCCTACAATATATAAATTTGCATTCATCTAATCTACTATGTGTTTCATACTAACAATTGAAATGAAGAATGCAACACTTGCATTTGCAGCATCTTATCTCTTTCAGGTTGGGCTTTCTTTTCCTCTTCTAACTCTAGAGTTATTCGCTTTCATCAACCCTGTAAACACAACACAAAATCACTTGTCATTTTCATTCTACTTTTAAAATTAATTCTTATTAGGACATTCTACATTTAAACCTACCAATCTAGGAAAATTTTCAAAGAATATAGTTTATAATTTTTTTTTATGGAAAGTACATTGCTATTTCTTAAGCTACAATACTCCATAACCATTTTGTTATTATAATTATATTATGATTCTAAAATAAAATAAGGGGGCCAGATCCATATATATAATTGAAAAAGTAAAATAGATTTCTAATAGTAGAAGAAAATTCACATACCAAAGCAACACAATTAGAAAGTGCTCGAGAGCGTGCATTCAGAGGCTGAAAATAAACAGATACAAGTTGAAAAGATAAAAAGGACTTGATAATCATATTTAAAAACCATATGAGAAAATAAAGTAATTTGTGAAAATCCATGATATAAACAATTTCGTTATTAATAAAAAATATATACTTATTAACTCCAATAAGGCAAAGAAGGGATGCTAATACTAACCAGGCCACCTCCTTGTCATCATCAAAATCACCAGGATTTACACCCATTTCTTACATTCCAAATTGATCAGTAATGGCAGATACTTGTAAATTAGTAGATTATTAATAGTGTTTGACACAATTTTAGAGAAAATGATAACAGATTTGGCGAAATGTAAAGAAAAATTATTCAAGGCAAACTCGTAAACAGTTGGCACGTTTTCTGAAAAGGTGATCATTCTACATCATGTCAAAAAGAAATATCTGCATATAGCTTCCATGATTAAGTGCATGAATCCTTTTGACTTGATAGACTTAACATTTGTATTTTAGACTCTTAAATAGTGAGTCAAATTTAAGTTGTTATTGATATTATGTTTGGTTTTAAGTTACTAATCATATTGTGATAATAAATAATTGCAATTGTATATAATTATTTATATCAAATAACCAGCCATTTACAATTTCAGTTTGTAAAAGTTCTTGATTAAAGAGTCAGTTCTTGTTCAGCATCACTTCCAAACAGAAAGGGTAAAATGGTCATTCAAGAACATCCAGACGATTAATATTAACATAATCACATGAGAAATTTGTACCTTCATCATTTAACATGCAATCTCCAATTTTCCATTTAAACTCTATGCAACTCTAACATCTTCAAGGTGTGCAAACTGAATAGTAACACAAAAACGTCTTGTTCTTCTTAATCCCTTTAAATCAATAAAAGCCAACATCAAAATTTTAAATATATGGAAAAGTAAACTCACCTGAATGAAACCAAAACCTTTACAATTTCCAGTCTGATTAGTAGGTAACTGTACCAGCTGTACAACACCAAATGATTCAAAAACCTAACAAGTGAACAAAGCTAGATTATTTTAAACACATTTAAAAAATCTTGTGATATTTGAAATTTCTAAAAAAGAAAGGTGGAGAAACCTAGCGATGTTGATCTTCTTTCATATTGTAATGATCCCCGGCACCCCCAATTCGCCTCCTATTTTTGTTGAACGTTGCTGCAAGCCGTAGACCAAGCCGCTGATGCAAGCCGTAGACCAAGCCGCATTGTCGAGCCGTCCTCCAAGCCGCGATCCACCAAGCCGTAAACTCTGGTCGGCCGCAAACTCTGGGTCGCACACCGCCGGCCGCAAACTTTGGTGACCGTAAACTCCGGCCACAAACTTCAGGAAACCCTAGCCGTAAACGTCACCACCTTCGGCCGTAAACTGTCGCAGATTAAGTGAACAACAGCGTTTTTCACCCCTTTTTGCTTCGAAACTCGATCAAAAACTCGTTTTTATGAAAAAGGCGAAGAACAAACCCCCTTATTTTTCAGAGATCTATCCAAAAATACAAAAATCTTTCGAAAATAAGATCAAATAAGCTTTAGATCTGACAAAATTGATTGACACAGTCCAAGCTCTGATACTACTGTAAGTCCCCAATCTGCTTGTGTATCAATCAGATTCGTTTGATGGTGCGGAATCCCAATCAAACGAATGATGTCAAATCAAATAGAAGAGAAGGAGAAGAAGACTAATATGAATCTCAATATATTGATGAATAGAATGTTGATCCGGATACAAGAGATTCACACACACTAACACACACTTGCTCTTCTCTCTTGTTTCTCTCTCAAGAACACCTTAAAAAACACACACTTAAGCTCCTCTATTCTATTTCTCATCAATCCACTCCTCACCCCTAACACATATATTTATATGGAACATGGGCTTGGTAAACATGGGCTGTGAATGGGTTTACGGTCGTAAACCTGTTCACGGCCGTAAACACAATCGT